GGTTGATCCGGCGGAAACCCCTCCGACGCTCAAGTCAGACGTGCGGATAATAATAATAGTCCAGAGAATACATGTTGTAGTATTGCTCAGATAATAGGACGTATCTTAAAGAATGAGTTCAAACCTTTATTTATACCTCATCGATTGGGCTGAAGTTTAATTAGTTGAGATTGTCGGGCCAAAACCTTATTTGAAAGTGATTGGGCCTCGGTAGTTGTGATCTTCAATATTGGGTTCGTGGCCCAGTATGTAAAAGAATTGTAGGCCCATTGGTTGGCCCAATTATGCATATCATTAAGGCCCCCCACTCTTGAGTCGATGTGGGGGTCATGTTGAAATGGGAGCCAGATTGTGTCGAGAGTAAAAATGTAGAAGTCGCTCGTCGGCGTATGGCCTAATGGTGTGTGAAAACGCGTTAGAGCGTGTGTCGGAGGGGCGTGAAGGCGCGTCGGCGCGTAGCACGTCCAAGTTGTCGCAATGTAAGTTACTTGAGTCGTCGGTGTTGTCCCGCGACGATGTAGTAGTGCGGATCGAGTTATCTCCTCGTGGGAGTTGTCTCGTCGCGGGGTAATAGAGTTGATCGAGTTATCTCCTCGTGGGAGTTGTCTCGCGATAATATAGTAGGACCGATCGAGTATTCTCCTCGTGGGAGTTGTATTTATTGACATTGTCAATGTTTTGACGCGTTTCTTGTATGTGTTTACATATAGCTTTGTGCGTGATGTACTTGAGGAGGGGATCAGGCTCTCAAGATTTTTTCGTGGGGATCGTGCCCCTTGTTAGACCTCGTGGGTCGTAAGTATGTTTGGATCGTGGACACATTTTAATGAATGACCCGTCGAAAATAAATAGATAAATTTGAGTAATCAAGCTGGCCAGGCTATATAGATTCCCATAATATCTCTAAGTGTTTCTAGGGTTGTAATCGTGTTTCAAGGGTTGTAATCGTGCTAAATTGAGCTTGCGATTATGTAGTGAATTACGGGCGAGTTTTATCCTCGTGTGAGTTATCTCGCCGCGGTTCGTAGTACCGAGCGAGTCGTCTCCTCGTGGCAGTTGTCTCGCTGCGGGTTCGTAGAACTGAGGGAGTTGGCTCCTCGTGGGAGTTGCCTCGCAACGGGTTGTGAACTGAATGAGTTGTCTCCTCGTGGAAGTTATCTCGCTGCTGGTTCGTAGTACCGAGGGAGTTGGCTACTCGTGGGAGTTGCCTCGCAACGGGTTTGTAGGACCGGGCGAGTTCGCTACTCGTGGGAGCTGCCCCGCTACGGGTTGTAGTACCGAGCGAGTTGGCTCATCGTGGAAGTTGTCTCGCAAGCCCCCCACTCTCGATTCGATGTGGAAGCCAAGTCGAAAAAGATACCAAATCGTGTCGAGGGTAGACCGGTGTTGTAGTGTGCCGTTAATCGTTGGCGTGGCGTGTAGAAATAATAATTTGTATTTATCCATTTGGGAGGGCGCGCGATCTGGTAAGTAATATTGGAGAGAGCGCGCGATTTGGTAGAGCACGTTAAAATTCTCGCGCGATTTGTGAAGCGCGTCAAAATCTACGCGCGATTAGGTGGAGAGTACAGAGAGTTGCGCGCGCTCCAAGACAGGAGAGGAGGTGCGCATCGAAGGACACGCGGGCGTGGAGGCGTGCGCGCATGGGGTTGCGCGCGCACTGGAAAACGCGAGGGCGTGGAGGCGCGCGCGCATTTGATTCGCGGAGAGAGAGTGATGGTATGCACATTTAATGAGGAGAGAGGTGATAGGAGTCATGGAGGAGAGAGAAAAGCTGACCTGTGATTGGACAGCCTTGGGCCACGCGCGCGTCGCGGGATTTGTTGATGGTTGGGCGCGTGTAGTGCACGCGTTCTGCTGTTGCCTTTGTTTTTCTATAATTATTTTCGCGCGGCAGTTGAGACGCGCGTTTGCAAAGATATGCGGCGCCCCACGTGCGCGTGCAGGCACGCGCATACAACTTTTTTTTTTTTTTTTTGATTTTGTTGTCCGCGCGCACTGTCCTTTGGGCGCGTAGCAATCACGTGCGCGTGCTGTGCACGCGCTAATCCACTATTTTTTTTTTGTTCTTTGATGTGAATTATGTCCACCTCTTGGGGATAATGTTCTATTTTTTTTGAGAAGGGAAACCATATCCGGCTCTTGAGATGGGATGTGAACCTACTTGGTATTGAAAGGTAAGGGTGATGTTCAACCATTGGGATGATATGCCCAACTTTAGGGTGGGATAGCCCCCCAACTTAGGATGAGGCGATCACGAATCCTTAGGAATAGATGCCCAACTTTGGGATGGGATAACCCCCAACTTAGGATGAGGCGATCACGAACCCTTGGGATGAGATGCCCAACTTTGGGATAGGATAACCCCAACTTAGGATGAGGCGATCACGAACCCTTGGGATGAGATGCCCAACTTTGGGATGGGATAACCCCCAACTTAGGATGAGGCGATCACGAACTCTTGGGATGAGATGCCCAACTTTGGGATGGGATAACCCCCAACTTAGGATGAGGCGATCACGACCCTTGGGATGTGTTGTTACATTCGAGACCTATGGTCTGAGGTGGATGCTCACAGTCGTGCCACTGCTTCAGTGGCAGCACGAGTTGAAGCTTCCGCGGTCATATGCTGAAGATCCTCATCGGTTATCTGAACCGTTCGAGGAGCAAGTAGAAGTTGATCCTGTTGAGGATCTAGTGGAACACCCGATGAAGGTCTTGTGGTGGATCCCGAGCACGAGGAGAAGAAAGTGGCAAGTCAGAGGCTCCACGAGGTGGGAGGTCGTTAGGAGTGTCACACTCTCCCTGGGGAAATGTCTCAAGGCCATCATGCGCGCTACGTGATTATGTCTGTCTTCCCACAGACGGCGCTAAAATGATGATGTTAATTACTTAGATCACCTTAGATAGTTGAACTAGGATGAGCTGGAAGAGCAGAGTGGATCACTGGCTCACGAGCTTTGATGACCTTGAGATACCTGCGATCACAGAACACGTAAACTAAGCCGGGGGTTGATCCGGCGGAAACCCCTCCGACGCTCAAGTTAGACGTGCGGATAATAATAATAGTCCAGAGAATACATGTTGTAGTATTGCTCAGATAATAGGACGTATCTTAAGAAATGAATTCAAACCTTTATTTATACCTCATCGATTAGGCTGAAGTTTAATTAGTTGAGATTGTCGAGCCAAAACCTTATTTGAAGGTGATTGGACCTCGATAGTAGTGGTTTTCAATATTGGGTTCATGGCCCAGTATGTAAAGAAATTGTAGGCCCATTGGGTTGGCCCAATTATGCATATCAATGTGGTTACATAGCCAATATTCCGAGCTCTAAGCCAATCACAGGCACAATTAAAAAAGCAAATATCGATAACAAAAAATATTGTATCATAACAAACTACAATTGAAATCCGGTGTCGAATTTAGTGTAAGTATATTGTTTCGCACGGAGGTAATAAAATGCGATACGGTTCAATGCCAAACGTCACATGAAACAAGCACGTGGACAAATCGACGACTCATGTCCAGCTGGACTCTCGAAGGAGCATGCAAAGTGAAAGTGCTGTAAACAAATTAGAGAAATATGTGGGAGGGGGGGGGGGAGATAGTTATTAATTTGGGTGTGGAGAATCGAAGAGCGAAGACGCTTCTATATTGGCAGTGATGATAGCACGAGTCGTCATTTTCGTGCGTGGGCCCGGGTCATCGTCTTTCAAAGGGCGTATAGCCATATTGAAGGGACCACAGCACTAGTCTTGCATGTCAACTACGCACACTGATGATTAGTAAACGACACCGTTCGTATTTAATTGGCGGGCCGGGCCACTACTCAGTCTAGTCTGTGCATTGCCTTTATTCTACCTACTTGTATATATTGTACTTGCTAACAAACAAACACTTGTTCAAATAATTCTCCTTCTGCCATAACTTCTTACTTCTAAGCTGTTCAGTTCCACTATATATACCCTACTCTTTTCATGTATTAAGCTTCCCATCTTGTAGTTTTCTTGAAATTAATTAATTTCGTATTAGGCCTCATTTGGTTGCCAAATTGAAGATTAACTGAAATAAGATTAAATAATCTAATAAGTCCCAGTTTGGTTGCCAAGATAAGTCATAATTAACTAAATAGTTGGACTTAGTTTGATGTTTGGTATCCTCAATAAATTGCCGGGTCGACCCGCCAAAATTATATAATCATGGCTTATCTTGCCTTCTAATGAGTTTTTTTTTTGACGTTTCAAGCTCCGATAAAATAATTGGGTCTCATTAGATTATTTAATCTTATCTTGGTTAATCTTATCTTGCCAACCAAACAGAAAGAATCAATTATTTTATGGGACCCTCGGGCGTCTAAATGAAAAAAATCTCCAGCAAATTATTGGGAGATAATGACTAAAATCTAATCATTTAGTTAATAATGACTAATTTCCCCGAGCAAACAAGGCCATATTGATATCAGAGTAACCTAATGGTTGCAAAATTATAATTCGCATAATTGTTTTTAGAAATTGGAGTGTTTCCATTTATTTTATTTGGTAACATAAGTCTTAGGCCTCGTTTGGTTTCTAAGATTTAATTAGTCAAGATGAAATTAAATAATTTAATGAAAACTCAATTATTTTATCGGATCTCAGGACATCCAGTAAAAAAAACTCCTTAAGATATATGATAAGCCATGATAACATAATATTTGTTCGTCGATTGAGATACCAAACATAAAAAAATGTCTAATTATTTAGTTAATCATGGCTAATATTTCCAACCAAACGAGGCCAGATTAACTAAATAATTAGACTTTTATCTTGAATTAGCGGAGAATTGTGTATTATAACCCCTAATCCTCGTAAGATTGCAATTGGTTAATCTCATTGGACCTTAGAGATCTAAATATTCAGAAGTGTCATAATTAATTAATTAACTAATGTAACAGTGGTAAATTGAAGTTAATTACAATTTATTTCTCCAGTGCTGGGAGTACACATTGTGCAATTCTGCAGCAATAGAAAGAATTTCCGTACAGCCAAATAATTATATACTCAAACAAATTACGTGCTCATGTAATAACTTGAGTTACTACAACTTCTTCAAAGTACAAAATCGTTACAGTGCATTCATTCCTTTTCAGTCAACTTTATAGTTAACTCTGACGTAATTGGCATTTAAAAAAAATATATAATACATATATATTAACTGCCTGCATGCCCTATTTATTGAGCAAAGCAAAAGCCTGTGCAACAAAATTAGCTCTCTTGACAAACCTCCCTTTCATCCTGGGCCTCTTCTCCGCATTCAATTTCCGAACCTCGTATCTTATCTTCTTCGAAAACAACCTCGTTCTCCGTTTTTCTCTATACCTCGACACCCTCGCCTGCCTCCCTCCGTCCACCGACGCCACCACTGCCCCGCTATGTGTGCCGCCTCCGCCCATCATCATCATCATCATGCCCATGTCATGATGATGATTCCCATATACATGCATTTTTCCACATGTCCCCTGCACAAATTATATATATATATATAATTAATTAATTAATCGTCACTGATGTGAATCATTTAATATTAATATCTGCAATAGAAAACAATATATAAAGCATTATATATACATACAAATGTAGATCGATACATACCGAGCAATCAGGCCAGCATTCATCGGAATCCAAATCCGGCCGTTCTCCGGTTGTCCACGGCGACTTCCGCTCATCCCAAGACGACAAAACACCATCGTAATCGAGCCTCAGGAAAATCTTCTTCGAATCGAACATTTTACTATTGGAATCTTCAAAATTGTTCATCGCAATTGGCTCCACATTTTCAATTTTATTATCTTCCTCCTCTTCTTCTTCGTCTTCACCGGTAATCGGGGAATTGTAATCGAAATTGAGCTCAAAAGTCTCCCTCCCAATATCGATAAACTCCCCATTGTTACACTCCTCATCGTCATCTTCAACTTTCACTCTCTCACTCACCAAATTAGCCCATTTCAATTTCTCTCTCTCATCGTCGCAATCCAAAAGCCCTAGCCCTTCCATATCGAACGACTCGTCTTCGAGCCCTTTCCCCAATAAGCTCTCGACATCGGCCGCAAACTCAGCAAGGTCCATTTCCGATGGAAGAAACCCTTGCAGATGGTTCATTTCTTCGCCGAAACCGCCGTCGGAAATTACCAATTCACCCTTCGATTCGCATGTTTCCGTTCCGTTGTGAATATTATTATTATTGTTATTATTGTTGTTGTTATTGTTATTGAAAGGAGTGCACAATTCGGCGACGAACGGATCGAAAATCGGAACCCGATAAAGAAGCTGCTCCTCGTTTTCTTCTTCTTCTTCCTCCTCGTTGGAATTATCAGCCTCGCTGCAAATCTCCGGCACGAGGTGGCCGAACGACGATCGCTGTTTGTTGGAATTATTCTTTTTCTGCCTCGGAGTTCGAGCCTTCCGGGTGAAACCCTGGTGCCACGTGGGCGGGGGTATTTGGATTTGGGGGAGTTGATCGCTGCTACCGTCGAGCGATGATTTGAACGACGTCGTTTTGAGGCGAACCCTCTCGTGGCGGCGGGCCAGCGGGTTGGCGGAGTGGACCGACGAATCGCAAGACTGGCAGAGGAAGGCGTCGTCGGCGGCGCAGTACCACCGCGCCCTTTTTCTGACGCAGTTGTCGCAAGCCCGAACCGATTTCCCGCCGACAGCGCTCGCCATGTTTCTGTCTGAAGAAATCATGGTGTTCTTCTCTCTTATTTAGTGTGTGTCTGTGTGTTTTTTTTTTTTATTTCATGAATTTTGTGAAATTAAAAAAAAAATTGAAAATGCAATCAAAATCGGAATAGAGAATCGGAATAGCGATTGCAAATGCGTAGTAAAAGTACGTTGGCTTTCGTGTTTATGAATTATGTATATTGTATACAGTGCAATTATTTATTTGGTAGTGTGTGTGTGTGGAGTGAGTGACCCACAAAAAAATGCACTTTTGCAGTATTATTTATTAATGTTGAAATGCGCTTTTGTCCAGCAAGGATTGGATATGCGCTTTTGGGAAACCCACAAGAGGGCCTTATCTTCGCTGTGATTGGCTGAGGGGGGAAATTGATCTTTATTTCTCGGTTTTGATTGGATGGATGTCTGATTATGGGATTTCGAGTGGGACCCACAACTTAATTTGTGATGAGAATGGGGAAGTCATTGATCCAATCTCTCTTTATACTATATTATATATTTATTTTTGGTGCGTCGTGTCAATTTGTTAATCTCTCTAAATATGAAAGAGACCTTTCTTGGAAGATTGTCCCGTTTTGGTTAATACTTACTTGAAAACTTATATTTCTGGTCCCCCCTTATTCAAATATTATATTTTTTAATTCAGTAAAAAAGAGTAGTTGTTGGGAAAATTGGTTAAAAATTGAGTCATGAACAATTTTTTATCAATGTTATTGTACGGTCTAATTGAGTATATAAATGAATTTTGGATTAGAACCAATTTTGTGGTGAATGAAAAAATTACTAGTCCAAAATATAAGGAAAGTGGGATTTTGAGTTATCCCACATTGGAAAAGTAGAGAAGTACTGAGCTGTATATATATCAAATTATTGGGACGGGCCAAAAACATTAGATCATGGGCTTTTAACCCATTGGGCCCTTATTACTCGAAGCCCATCTCGATTGGTCTGACTGGTCTGAATTGGTGCGGCCGAACCAATGCAAACCATTCGGCTCAACTCGAAATGGTGCAACCACTCCCAATTGGCTCAACTTGAAATGGTGCAACCATTCAAACAAAAGGTACCTTTTTGCTCCAAAGGACACTACTTTTCGAACCTTATAAATAGACCATAACTTTCCCGAAATTTCACACTTCAATCCAATAACAAGCCTACTACATATTAAGCCTACCCTTCACAGATTCTCTCGAAAAGTTCTACACAAAGTACAGTTCGTCGTACTTGGGATTTGGAGTGCTCCTATTCCAAGTTTAGCCGTTGTATCTTGGGAGACGATTTCCATTTAATCCGTTAGCACCGTTGCGGGGAAATTTCGTCTTAAGGACAGAGTCAACTCGCCTCGGCTAATCTTTCCGTATTTTCACTAATTAATTTGTTCAACCAATTTACTAAATTCACTACCCGTTTTATGTATCGGGAACAACAGTAGTCACTGTAAAAAAAATTAAAAAAATACTACTGGCTCTTGATGGTGTTGATTATTACAAAAAAAAAAAAAAAAAAAAAAGAAAAAAGAAAACCAAAAAATATACATATATGTATATTTCTGAAAAAAAAAAATTCTAGAAGAGTACTGAATAAACTCGGGTCTCGTGCCATATTTTGCAAACTGTATGATGTTAGATAAATTTCCGGAATCTATATTGGGCGATGTTCGGTAGTGTTTTGGTTTTAATATTCTTACTTGAACCCGGCCCGATCCGCTCTGTAGCCGTGTCTATTCAAAATGAGTTCGTTATTTTCAAAAAAACAAATATAAAAGATAATGGCGAAAAATATTCTATTCATTATTGGACTATTGCAGTAAAATACATGTTCATAAACAAACAGACAAACGTTGTCTTCACACACACAAAAAAAAAAAACAATTTATTTCCAAATTCATTTTGTAAATTTTGTTTTCCCAACACATTTAGACACTGTTACGATTCTTATTTCGCATCCCAAAATTATAAATGAACACTACTTTTATTCTCAAATTATTTACTCGAAAAACAAAATCCCAAAAATAAATTCAAAAATAAGCCCCCAGCACATTGGATTAGAGTTTATTAAATCAAGTAAAGCTTATGGTATACACACATATGTTACACAAATGTAATAATATTCAAGATAGGCTAAGTTTATAATTAATGAGAAAGATGCAATTGCATTCATATATATGTATATTATTATATAGTATATTTCGTGTGTGTAAACCATAATACTTTATCGTCTCACTTATTTTGTTTGATATATGAGTTCAAAATAATTCTCAAAATATCTTTAAAAACCAGGCCCATCTTTGAAGGAATATCCTAGCTCAAATTACGACAGTACACACTTTAACTTTGCAAGTCGGAGATAAAATATCTATACGTGTCTGTTCAAATATCTTCACTTATATATTCAGGAAAATAAATTGAACAATGTTTAAGCTAAATTAAACTCTACTTTTTAGCAACAGTTTTTTATATCACTATATATTTAATTAACAGTTCTTGATCAATATGAAAATATTTTCGATACACCGATAGTTGTGCGCATTTTTATATACGAAATGTATAGTTTTAATATCGTAATTATGTGTTTCTTCTTCTTCCTTTTCATATATGTACTCAAATTGGGAGTGACATATTTATTGCAGCATGCATGCTACATGAAATTAGATTGATATTGAATTTCTCTTTTTTGGTAATATGTAGAAATTAAATAGCTGTTGATATTATCTCAAAATTGTCCTGTCCGAAGCACATATTCTGTTAATATTTTTATCAAATTTAATAAATAAATAAAAGAAAATAAAAAAATCTAGCACTTTCCATGGTCCACTTTTTGTCTGAACTGAAGTGCCCATTTCTTTGGTAAAATTAGTCGCCGAGTCCCATTCCTATAACAAGACAAAATAATTAATTACACCTGGAGTAATTTTTTTTGGGATAATTAGCAATACCCCCCTCATCTAGGTAAATGAGTTAAGAAAAACCCCCCTCCCAAAAATAATTAGAGAAAACCCCCTTACCTAATATTCTACCCAAATATTATTTAATAATTCCCAAACCACCCTTTCTCACTCTTATCTCTTCTCTCTCTTTCTCTCTCTCTCTCTCTCCCCTCTTTCTCTCGCACACATAAAAACACACACACACACACACAAATTAGTGAGAAATCTCAACAGGAGAAAGCTCAACAGGAGAGTAAGGAGGATTCTGCCGCCGCCGCCGCCGCCGCCGTCGTCTCCGCGCACGCGTCAGCTGGAGTGAGATTTCGAGGACGTGGGATCGGAGCGCGTTGGGGCTGTCGCGCGTGACGATAATTGGGGGCTTGGGCTTGTTCTTGGATCCCGGAGGACGACCGCGCGGGCGGCGGTTGGCGGAGGGAGTACCCCCGGAGCTGGTGGTAGCGGCGGCGTCGTCGTCCTTGGAATTAGCAGACGGCTCGTGATGAATTTCAAGACGAGAAGAAGGCAACGGCGGCGGCCTCTGCTGCAAGTGGAGGTCCGTCGGTGGTGTGAGAAGCTGATGAACGTAGCGAGAAGAATTACCACCGCCGCCGGAGCCTTGCTGATGTTCGTAACCCGCCATTTCTATACATCAATCTCTCTCTCTCTCTCTCTCTCTCTCTCTAACTTTCTCTCTCTAGCAAATAGAAATGAAAACGAACACAGAAAATTAAAGTAGTAATAAAGAATGAATATAATCAGTTATATTCTCTATTCTGGTGTTGCTTTTGGGATTAAGTTATTTAGGATTGGGATTAAATTAAATTAAATTAGTTTTCTTAATTGGTGGAGCTGAACATGCTCAAAATATGACGGGTTCGGCCATGGCAGAAGCTCTGGGTGGTGTGGGGACGATGTGGAGGCCGATTTTGGGTTTATTTGTGGCTGAAACCTTAATCGACTATGTACATGAAGCATAGTCGATTAAGGCTTAATCGACTATGCTTCATAGTCGATTAAGAAAAAAAACGGAAAAAAAAAAAAAAAAAAAAAATTGCTGAGCGTGACCCAGTGATGATGTGGCGGGTGGGGACAAAGCTGGAAAGCATAATGGCTGAAAATGGGTGTGGACTTTTCTCAAATGGACTAAAATATTTTGGACCTCCCTCAATTAAAAAAAATAATGAGGGGGTTTTCTCAAAGAGCCCCATTTTTTTTTAATAATAATAGTAAGCTAAGTAAATATGATATATATGGAGTACTCATCCATTTAAAATATTACCATTTTTGTAATAAAAAAATATTAAGGAGCTGGCAGAAAACCAGTGAATGTATGTTAAGAGTCATCGACTTAGACAATGACTTAATTAGTACTCAAGAACTCAACCTTCCTTGCATGCATGGACCGCAGACGAATTTGTAAAATAATAATAATGTATTTATTTTCATAATTCACATAGGCCAAATAATGCTGTAATTATTATTGGAATTGTTGAAAATTGATATTGCATGTCAAATTTAACTAAAGATCCATCATAACTCATGGATATAGGATCTAGACCATCAAGACTTCTTTCCAAGCCTAACTCCCTTGATCGTCGGAAATCCACAGGACGTCGGTCTTTCGTCGGAAAAGATGAATTCAACGAGCGGAAAATAAAGAAATTAAAGAATTTGGTAGAGAGTATAAAAGTGTCTTCATTCATGTTAAAATTTAGACTTATTATCAGACTTTATACATGAAGATCTTTCTAATTGCTTCCTAGTTTAACTCGCCTTAATTAGGTCGAGATTTACATTGATTGCTCCATTATTAATACAAATTTACATACTTTCCTTATCCATTTAGGAAAAGTATCTCCGAGTTTTCTGCTTCTAATAGCTCTCGTTCAGCTCGCCACCTACCACTTCCTGCTACTATTTTTATGCGAGCCGAGACGTAGCAGTGGACTTTACAAATGCGAGATATACGTCAGCGAGCTCTATAACATTAAGCTCTTCATCAACGAACTCTTCTTTTGGCGCCCTTTCTGGTGACGAGCTCATTTGTCTAGCTGCGAGATCTCTGTGGTTTATAACTTCTGATAATGGGCTTTCTGCCCTTTAAATCATTTTACTTCTCATGGCCCACTTTATTTCGTCTTGAGAGCCCATTTTTTGGGGAAGTTTGACCCAATCTTACCAAACTGACCTCATCAATAACAATAAATAAAATAAAATAAAATAAAATTAAAATTAAGATCCTTTGGTATTTCAAGTAGTACTCTAATTCTTTATAATTCTTTGATATTGAACACATTAAATTGATAATAGTCATTGATTTTTTTTATTTTTTTGATAATGAAGGAACCTTCAACCAACTATATAAGTGCCCTAGGTAAACTTACACTCTCATATAATAGCTTGCAAACCATATGAAAGACGTAAGGTCATTGAGCTCTTTCAACTACGGTCGAATTGCATATAAGGTTGTGGGTCCATACCTATGCTGCACGGATACTTCTAGAAGGTGGAGAGTCCCCGTATCCGACACCTGGACACTCGGACACACCCGGACACTTGTCGGACACCCGTGTCGGGCCGTGTCGTAATTTCGCTAAAAGTAGGACACCCGTGTCGGGCAGTGTCCACAATTTTAAAAAAGTTGGGACACTTCTCTTAGAGAGAGCCCTAATAAAAAAATTCGCATTTTCTTTTATCTGTAATATACATTTCCTCTGTTTTCTTTGTGAGTCCACCCAAAACTCCAAAAGTCGCATGCGACGGCGACCAAGAACACGAGCAACAAGGGCGAACGGTTCTTTTATGCGATGACGATTTACACATATTTTTTATAATTTATAAATGTACCCCTATATTTTTATTATTAATAAATATACCCCTATATTTTTTTATAGTTACGCGTATCCCCGCGTGTCCGTATCCTAATTTTTTTGGAAATACCGTATCACCGTGTCCGTATATGCGTATCGCCGGATCCACGTATCCGTGTCCGTGTCCGTGCAGCATAGGTCCATACTAATTGCAATCAGTATTATTTTGCGACCCAGTAGGATTAGTTTTTATTTATTTAATATATTTGTCTTTCGTTGTGTTGACCGGTTTACACGGTAATATTAATTTAATTTGTCTTCATAATTTTTTGTTTAAATCCTCCAAGCTTGACATTTATAAAACCTTGCCGTTGGGCTTTCCCATGATTGGGGTCTGGGCCATGGGCCCAAGTGCAAGCCCAATGCAACTCTAATGCCAGATGGTATAGCAGATAGCTATGGAATCCAAGTGCACTAACCGACCGAATCGAACCGGAAATACGGTACATGCCGAATACCGTACCGGTAATTCTGTTCAGCATTCGAGTTTTGGTTACTGAAATTTCGGTAATTCGGTTTATCAAATACCGAAATTTTATTTTATTATTATTATTTTATGTATATATTTGTATGTGTAATAGTACTATTTAAACAAAAAATTATTATTTTATACTATACTTAATTGAAAAAAAAAAAATCAAATTTTTAAATATTTTTAATAAATTTTTGGTAATTCGATTATTTACCGAACCGAACTCTATATTTCGGTTCGGTAAATAGTATGAAATTTTGGTTTATCGAAATTTCGATACGATTTTACCGAATGAACACCCTTACTACCAACAGACGAGGAGGAAGAAATAGTTTGTGATAAGTTACGAAACGATATGGCAAGTGAAACACAAAAACTTATAACACATTCATCTACATATTATCTGGCAGATCGTGTGACAGAACAGAGAATTAGATAGAGAACCTTTGATTATGGCAGATTGTTAACAATAACTAAATTTCAAGAAAGAAAAATAGAAAAAGGATTTGTAGAAAACAATTGGTTAGTTTGTTTCAAAACATGGAATATTACTGTGGAGAAAACATGCCCTAAGATTGGGGAGTTAAAAAATCGTGCATTGCTTATAACTAGGACTTAAGTCACGAGTTCGAAACTTCAGTATTAGTCTTTTTTAAAGACTAATGAAAAACAAAAACAAAAATTAAAATTAAAATTAAAATTAAAAGAATTATCAGCTATTTTTCAGTAATTATTTTGCAATGAAATTTTTTAGTCTATACCTTTCATAGCAATAGACACGAATACTTTTCTCATAATTAAATTTTCTTATTAATAGCATTCACCAACTTAAAATCTTTGATCTATGATCAGAAGGCCAAACGAAGGTATCCTATATCTATACAATCTTTTAGAAAATTAGATTTTTTTTAATGTTATTATTACTTATAAAGGGTAAATTACAACCACTCCTAAGGTGTAGTCAAATTACGAAAACATCCTCCTGTTTGGGTGATTACAACCACCCATCAACTATAAATTTTCTTACATGTCCACCCTTGCGGTTTGAAATTTAATGGAATCTTTGAGATTATATGGAATATTATCACTTTTGTATCCGTTTATCCTATTCGAACTCCACATTTTGAAGCAAGATGATCATGATATGTGTTTTTTGGCTTGTATATATCTGATTGTGGTACATCATAAATTGTATATATACACAAAACGAGTACAAACTAGAGCATATTTCACAAAATCTGGATGATTATGTTGTATTTGACACATAAGAATGCAGGTGTAAGAAAAAATCATAATAAGGGGTCGATGTAATTATCAAAATAAGAGGATTTTTTAGTAAATTGACGATACTTTAGGGCTGGTCGTAATTTATTCTATTTACATAATATATAAATATTAATAAATAAACAAAACTTAATAATAATTTTCTTGTATATATTTCAACAGTGAATACTGACTCAACTGCTGCGTGTCAAATGCACCATCCCCCCTTCATTAAATAATCTCATCTGCCACCAAATTTCCCATGCATCCTCCTCTTTAAACACCCCCCATCTTCCTCCCCCAATTAATCCCAACCACCACCACCACCACCATGGCTCCGCCGCCGCCACCGCCGGAATATTCCCAATCAGTAAAACTCAAGTACGTAAAACTCGGCTACCACTACCTCATCAACCACTTCCTCCTCTTCCTCCTCCTCCCAATCACACTCTCCCTCACCATCGAAGCCCTCCGCACAACCCCACAAGAGCTCCAAACCCTCTGCAACTCAATCAAACTAACCCTAATCCACGTCATCTCTTCCCTCTTCCTCGTCATCTACATCTCCACTTACTACATCATGTCCAGGCCCCGACCGGTCTACCTCGTCGACCACGCCCTGTTCAAACCTCCGGCGAGCTTCCGCGTCTCCTTCGCCGGATTCATGGAGCACGCCAGAATGGCCCCCTTCAGCGAGCCCAGAAGCGTCCACTTCCAGATGAAGATCCTCGAGCGCTCCGGCCTCGGCGAGCAGACCTCCCTCCCGCCGGCGATCCGCTACATCCCGCCGTCGCCGAACATGAACCTCGCCAGGGAGGAGGCGGAGCTCGTGATCTTCACGTGCATGGATTCCCTCATCCGGAAAACCGGCGTCGAGCCGAAAGACGTCGATATACTGGTCCTGAACTGCAGCCTGTTTTCTCCGACGCCGTCGTTGACGGCGATGGTGGTTAATAAGTACGGGATGAGGAGCAATGTCAAGAGCTTTAATCTCTCCGGCATGGGATGCAGCGCCGGCTTGATCTCCATTGATTTGGCTAAAGATCTTCTGCAGCACCACCCTAATTCGAACGCCGTCGTTATCAGCACTGAAATTCTCACGCCAAACAGCTACATGGGTAAAGAACGAGCCATGCTCCTCCCCAACTGCCTCTTCAGAATGGGCGGCGCCGCCGTTCTTCTTTCCAACCGCCGCTCCGACCGCCGCCGCGCCAAGTACCGCCTCGCCCACGTCGTCAGAACCCATAAAGGAGCCGACGACAAATCATACAGGTCTGCAGGATGAATATTAAAACGAATAATAATTACTTTTAGGGTAAATATGAAAAAACCCCTGAACTTAGTGTAAATAACAAAAACATCCCACCTACACGTAATTACCCAAACCCCTGAGGTTTGTTTATGTCTTGCACCAACTCCTTACATTGTGACTTTTCACGGATTTTTTTTTATTCCTTACAATAGATTTTACACAATTTAAGATTTAAATAGACTATACACATTTTCAATTAAAAAAAACTCGATCAACAGTTACGCATAGCATAGCGGAATTTTTGTTATTACAGATAGGTGGGGGTACTTTTTTGTTATTTAGCAGTCCAGGGAGTTTTCGTAATATACCCTTCCTTACTTTCATATTTTAAAAGAATATGAAATATACCCCTATTAAATTTGAAATTACTAAAATACCTTTGTAGGTGTGTATCCCAAGAAGTGACTTTTAACGATTTTTTTTTTAATTCCAAGGAATAGACTTTACATAATTTCAAATTTATTTCTCATCTATTTAATATAATGTATAACCGATTGTACACAGTTTCTATTAAAAAACTCGATCAACATCAGAGCCGGATTTTGGTTATTACGGATAGGTAGGGTTTTTTTAGTTATTTAGCGTAAGTTAGGGGGGGTTTCGTTATTAGTTTATATTTTTTTAAAAAAAGAAACCACTAATATACCCCTATGAAAATTACTGAAATACCCCTGGCCAGGTGTGTATCCCAAGAGGAAGATTCAGAAGGAAATGTAGGGATAAAGCTAAACATCGATCTAATGGCGATCGCCGGAGAAGCTCTGAAATCCAACATCACCACCATGGGGCCGCTAGTTCTCCCGGCGTCGGAGCAGCTTCTGTTTGCGCTCTCATTCATCGGAAGAAAAATGATAAACTCAAAGTGGAAGCAGTACATACCGGACTTCAAGCAGGCGTTCGACCACTTCTGCATCCACGCCGGAGGAAGGGCGGTGATAGACGAGCTGCAGAGGAGCCTCCGTCTGACGGCGGAGCAGGTGGAGGCGTCGAGGATGAGTCTTCACAGGTTCGGGAACACTTCATCTTCTTCGCTGTGGTACGAACTGAGTTACATTGAGTCGAAGGGGAGGATGAAGAGAGGGGACAGAGTGTGGCAGATTGCGTTTGGGAGTGGGTTTAAGTGTAACAGTGCGGTGTGGAAGTGCAATCGGACGGTGGATCCTACGGCGGAGGACGGCGGCCCTTGGGCGGATTGTATTGACAACTACCCGGTTTATATTCCTGAAGTTGTCAAGCTTTAATTATGTTTTATTTATTTATTTATTATTATTATTTCGAGCAATAAAACATGCACTCTGAAAGAAAAGTGCAACTTTGTATAATTGTTTGCATTTAAGGCCTTCTTTTGAGAAAATTCGATGACACGCAGATTGATGGCACGTGTACTGTTAATAAAAATAAGGGTAAATAACAATCGTTCCTTCCTGAGGTATGATCAATTTATGAAAAAATCCCTCTTATTTGGATAATTATATTTAAACCCTACAATTGTGGTTTTCTCTTATATTTCAACTCTTATGGTGTCAAATTCAACATATTCATCTAGATTTCGTGGGATGTGCTATATTATACTCGTTTTGGGTAAAAATGCAGTTCCTGATGCACTGCAATCTGATATATGCATGGCAAAATACACATATTATGATCATCTTGCTTCAAAATGTGGAGTTCGAATGAGATAAAACGGGTACAAAAATGATAATATTTCATATAATTAATCTCAAAGATTCCACTAAATTTGAAACCGCAATGGTGGATGTGTAAGAATATTTATAATTAAGGGTGGTTGTAATTACCCAAACAGGAGGAGGTTTTCGTAATTTGACCATACCTCAGGGGTTTTGTCATTTACCCTAAAATTCATAATAAAAAAATATATTATTTATTTATGTTTTCTCAAACATTTTTCAATCGTATTATTGACTAGTAATTAGGCACTTGTGATTGTTAAAAGTCGGAATAAGCCCTCCAATTTGACGTGGGCTTAACTCCGTTAGCCGTTTAGCTGAACTGGGCCGAGGACAAAACAATTTCTAGTTGGCCCATTTAATTATTTAACTTGACTACGTGTGAAAATCGGGTGGAACGCATCGGAATTAACTTTTTCAGAAAATTTCCAATTTTTTTAGAAGTACAAAACTAATTTTAATTCCAATTATAAAATTTTCGGAATCTAGAAATTCATTACAATACCAAAAAAGCTATGGATATTTCGGAAATTACATGAGTTCTAAGTATCAACATTTTCGGAATTAATTTCCGAAATTAAATCGGATTGGAAATCGTAAATTCCAAATATTTTTTATATAATTTCAATTCCAATCGAAAATATTCGGAAATCGAAAATTTGAAAATCGGAATAAAAAAAATTATTACAAAAGCAATAGTTTTCGGATCGAAACCGGTGAAAATCGGAAATCCCATTCTGACTTCCACCGTTAAACTTGACAAACAAGAATTTGACCCAATCGGCTTTATTCAATCTGGGGAGTGGCACCGTATAGGAATTATTAATTTTATAGAATGAAAATTGGAATAGAATTTCTGAATTATGCATATTCCAACTCAAAAAAACTAGATATTGGAATACTATTTTTCATTACAAATTCAGAATTTTCCCATTTCTATATTTTTTTCAATTTTTTTCTGATCAGAATCGGACTACATCTGAGATTTCGATTTTCGATCAATTTTTTTTATATAAAATAAATTCAAAATTTCAAAAATAAAATAAAATCCAATTTTCAGTTCCCATCAGAAAATTTTCGACTTTGGAACAAAACTTTTCATCCGAAATTCCACGACTTTTTGTCAATTTAACAAAGTTTTTAATTATTTTTTTTCATTTTCGAAAAAAATATAAAATTGTACCAAAACTGCTAATTTCGATTCCATCCATCCAATTTTCAAGATTGATTGGAGATGAAGCATGGGATGGATGATAACCAAACTCACACCAAACAGTCCTCTGACCACAATCTTTTTAACATCAAAAAAGTATATTTTGTGTGCATCATATATCTTACTATATGTATTCATTATAAACTGCAAAAGATAAACTTTTTAATTTGTGTGCGTGATTCAGTAAGTTTCAGTGCGGGATTTAGCACGTCTCTTCTACAAATTATTCTTGCAAGAAACAACATGCCGGAGTACTGCGTAACCGGAGGCACTGGATTCATTGCAGCTTATCTGATTAAATCCCTCCTCCAAAATGGCCATACTGTAAGAACTACCGTACGAGATCCAGGTACGTTAAACAATTATTAGTTTTTTTTTTTTTTTTTTTGAAATAATTGTGAGTGACTGCTAGAGGATTATTCCAATTCTTGGTGTTTCTTTGTCTTATAGGATTAATTCGTTGAAACTAATTCTATTCATATTTCTACTATGGTCGAAACGATTAATTACATATTAAATTTTCATGTTACATCAGAAAATGTAGAAAAAATAGGTTATCTTTGGGAGCTAAATGGAGCGAAGAAAAGGCTAAGGATAATGAGAGCTGATTTGTTGGAGGAAGGAAGCTTCGACGAGGCGGTGGACGGAGTCGATGGGGTCTTCCACACTGCTTCTCCGGTGCTCGTGCCCTACGATAATAACGTCATGGCAAGTAGTCTACATATATTAATACACCTCAATGTTTATTAATTATCTCTTCGTTCCACAATAACTGCAATATATACATATTAAAAAAGTTATTTCATATGGTTGAGTTTTAGGGGAAAAACACAAAAAAAAGACTAAAATATCGTTTACTATTTAATGAGGTGATAAGAAAGACTTAATGTTTAATAGAGTTCAATAAATAAGGGTAGAACAGGAAGAAAAAAAATTAATTCATTATTGGAACTATAAAGCGACAAATAATATGTAACGGCGGGAGTACATCATATGCCTTAGTTATCATCGTAGTTAACATTTGTGAAATATGAAATAATGCAGGCAAATTTGATCGACCCTTGTGTAAAAGGAGCACTAAACGTGCTAAGATCCTGCAAGAAAGCGAGCGCTAGTGTGAAAAGGGTTGTCTTAACCTCTTCTTGTTCCTCGATCAGATACAGATACGACGCCGAACAAGTTTCGCCTCTCAACGAAACGCATTGGAGCGATCCCGAATATTGTAAAAGCAACAATGTAATTATTAAAACCAAAATCACGAGTAATTAATTAATTGATTTGATTATCCTTTTTAATTAACTAATTAGTCCGCAAAAAACATACTAACCTAAGAAAATTAAATAATTTGTTTTGCAGTTGTGGTATGCTTACGCGAAAACCGTTGCGGAACGAGAGGCGTGGAGATTAGCCGAGGAAATCGGAATCGATCTAGTTGTGGTGAATCCATCGTTTGTAGTTGGCCCTCTACTTGCACCTCAACCAACTAGTACACTTCTACTTATATTAGCTCTTGTCAAAGGTAATTAATTAATTAATTAACTAATTAATAGTAAGTGAGATAAAATAATATTGGTCTTAATTTGTTTTTAATTATATTAATTAGGGGTAAGAGGGGAATGCCCAAATATGAGGGTAGGTTTTGTGCACATAGATGATGTTGTGAATGCACATATTTTGGCAATGGAACAAAGTAAAGCATCTGGCAGACTTTTGTGTTCAAGCTCAGTTGCACACTGGACAGATATTATTCGAATGTTGAGGGCGAAATACCCGTCTTACCCTTACGAAAACAAGTAATTCGCGAACAAGTAGAATTAATTTGTTAAGAGTGCTGCGAAATTGAAATTAAATTGTTTTTTTTTTCTTGAATATTTTATTTGCAGGTGCAGTAGTGAAAAAGGAAATGAAAATCAACATAGCATGGATAGCAGCAAGATTCTTGAGCTTGGGCTGCCTCCTTTGAAAACATTGGAACAAATGTTTGATGACTGCATTGCGAGTTTTCGAGAAAAGGGATTTCTTTAAGATTTAATTATATGCGTACAAAAATAAAATATCTAAAACTCGTGACGCTAATATTATAAGTCTCGAAATTCGTTGTCTTACTTGATTCGAAATATGTAACTAATTACGTACCAAAATAATAATCCCTATTATAATATTCATCGAATTCCATCGTATGATAAAATTCGGTGCACTTGATCCAAATATATTCATTCGCAGCTTTGCGTATTTAGCATCTTCCTTTGAAAAAATATGGGATTGGTGCGATTTCCCGTAACATCAACAACAACAACAACAACAACAACAACAACAACAAAACAGGCGAAATTTTATGCCCTATTGATTTATTTTTTTCATAATGCCTTTAACACATTTGAGATTTTTGTGTGTTTTCATTTAAGCAATCCTTAATTCCTTAATTATAGAAAAGGTCATACGAGCTTGAGGTACGAACTATCAAGTCGAACGACAACTAGTATTTGTGTTTGATCATTTTAAGGTTGGGGTTGTCTAGGGTCCGAGAGGGGTTGTACTACTCGGATCCAAACGATTTAATCTGGTGCGTAGAAAATATTTAGTAAAAATTTATAGTCGTTGATTTAAAGTACGAACTAGTACGATCCAGTACGAGCCTATGGATTTGTAAATTAAAGTACGAACCCAGTAAAAATAGATCGTACAAAGGTCGTACTCCATCGTACTTCATGTAAAATTACTTTATTAACCTTATATTATTAAACCAGAGAATTAAAAGTAGGGTTAACTGTACTTTGCCCCTAATTTTGGTCATTTTTGCTCTTTTGCCCCCCAAATAAAAAACAATTCCACGATTATACCTCGACTAACTAATTTAGCCCAATTTCACCAATTAACCCAATTTTTGACCATAATTTCAATTTTGACCCCAATTTTGACTCGCCACCACCGGAGACCGCCATAGACCCACGGTCTCCGGCGTTGACTCTTTTTTTTTTTCAAAACTTTTTATTTGTCTGAAATTTTTTCCGCTAGCTCAATCGCAGGGTCTCCGGCTTTGATTTTCTTTTAAATTTTGTTTTTTCTAAAAAAAAAACTATTTTAACTAATATTAATGTATTGGCTGTTAAATTACTGTCTCCAGTAGTTATTTAACTATCGGAGAGAGTAATTTAATGTTAATTAATCTTTTTTTTCTTAAAAAAAATATATTAATTAATATTACTATCTTGACTGCTAAATTACTGTCTCCATAGTTATTTAACTGTTAATTGAATTTTTTTCTTAAAAAAATATTTTAATTAATATTATTGTCTTGGCTGCTAAATTACTGTCTTCAACAGTAATTTAACTGTCGGATACAATAATTTAAATGTTAATTGACTTTCTTTTTTGAATTTTTTTTTCTAAAAAAATTATTTTAATTAATATTACTTTCTTGGTTCAAAATTACTGTCTCCAACAATAATTTAACTGTCTAAGACAATAATATTATTGTATTAATTATTTTATCGTCTTGGCCTGCATTATTGTTGTTTTCGACTGTAATATTATTTTCTTCGACCGTAATATTACTGTCTCAAGCAATAATACCACCGTTTGGGACTGTAATATTAGTAATATTACGGTTCGGGAAAATAATATTCGTAATATTACTGTCTGAAACAGTAATATTATTGTCTGAAACAGTAATATTATTGTATGAGACAGTAATTTAGTAGGAAAGATTGTAATATTAATTAAAATATATTTTTCTAAGAATTTTTTTTCAAAAACCAAAAAAAAAGGTCAACGCTGGAGAGCGGCGGTCAACTACGGTTGACCGGCCGAAAAAAAAAATCAGAAAAAAAAATATTTTCAAAAATAAAAAGTCAACGCCGGACACCGCCCGCCTGATCAATGCCGGAATCTGGCCGAAAAAAAAATTCAGAAAAAAAACTTATTTTCTAAAAAAAAAAATATTTTTTCAAAAAAATATTAAAATGCGGGTTAATGTGATATATTTTGTTTAAATTCGGGGTCAATGTGTAATATTAAGGAAGTTAGAGTATAATGGATGAAATTGATAAAAAATATATTATGGAGGGTATTTTAGAGTAAAGAAACAGTGATGGGTTAATTTGAAAGATTATTATTTATGTGGACCAATGTGCATTTAAGTCTCTTGTCATGACCCTAATTATTAGTTATTATTAATTGTTACTTAAGTTTTAGTTATAGTGGTTTTTATGTAATTTCACCTATAAGGTAGGTATCGTACTTTTTTTATGGGGTTCGTACAAATCATACGTGTCACATCTTTATTGGTTAATTTTCAATCGTTTGGGTCCGAGTAGTACAACCCCTCTCTAACCCTAGACAACCCCAGCTCGGTTCTATTATCTTATATAACTTGGTTCATGTAGGCGCGAGTTTTCTAACTTGGGGGCATTGGAAATCGAACATCGGGGATTTTAACATTAAAAATACAAAAATACCCCAAGTACTATTTGTATATATCCCATGAGTATTCTGAACATACCATATTTTTCATAACATAAAGCCTAAATATTGTTTGAAAATATAAAGTAAGATAATTATAAGGGTTATCATAATAATTATAATTTTCTCTGTTATTTTATTTATTGAGTTATAAATAAAAAATGTTATATTTTATTTAGAATGTTCTCTTAAATTTAATATTTGAAAGGTCAGCAAATAATATATACATATTTTTTTTAGATTAAAATCTAAAACTCGACTTGTTTTTTTTTTTCTTCAATAGTTGATAGCATTTTCTCAAACGAAAAAAAAAAAAAAAAAAAAAAACAGTTGTCCCTTAAATTATTCTGGGTCGGACCCTACCCAAGAAATATTTTATTTATAAAGATGGTCAAAAGAAATTAAAGAAAGAAATTATTCAATCTTCTTTGCAGATCTTTGTAGAAGAAAAAGAAGGCAAAATATTTGGGAAAAATCGACGGTAGCGGATAATGATGTTTAAGCCAATCACGAAAAAGTCAGCCTATAATCGCGGTATTTTATTTTCCAGATCTCTAACTTCGTTTTAGTTTGGAATAAAAATAAAATAAAGATCGATTTATTTTATTATTAAATTTATTTTCTATTTTTTTTTTTTTCGGGAGTGCATAACGGTTTGGATATGTTCCGGATCCGATATCTGAGTAAATTTGGGCTTATGAGATCTTAATATCTTATACATGGTGAAATACAAGATGTTGTTTTCAATCAATAAAGTTAGTTTTTGACCAAGTATATTTTGTTTTATTTAAACAAGTGTTATATATATTTAGTTGTTCGATAATATTTATGTGACTATTTTTAAAAAAACTTCAGGGCCATGCGCCGTATTCTGTAAACTGTTTTCTCCAAAATTCTTAACTGTTAATCATTAAATTTTTGTCCAGTTATACTTATTAGAATTAATATGTACATTATACAATAGTAATGAAGGGCAATTTTTCTGAATTCTTAAAATTTGCCTAGGCTTGGCAGCAAATTTCTCAGGATCAGGAACGGCTCTGCAATTGTGTAACAATTAAAATCCGAATTTTTAATAAACATCATTTATGTTTAATTAAAATTTGTGCTCATTTTTAGCATGTGCTTGAAACATAAAGTTAAAACATTTCAAAAAGATTGATTATATTGTCCAACAAGCCTAATCATAATTTCCTATAAAAAATAATCATATATGATAGTGATGCGAGATCACTCAAGATGGGTAAGTTCATAAGTCGGGCTGAAAAGTGGACAAAAAATACGGGGTTTTACTGCACACGAACTTCACATTCACCTTTATGATTAAATAAACACTTCTCTTTTGATTGACAAACACATCTAAATAAGAAGTTCTCTTTACAAATTAAATAGAGAAAGATGCCTTCCTTTTTTTCTTAATAATTATTTTCATCGCTAGAACCTTCCAAAACGCAATCAAAGTTGATAAAAATGTACAAGCATGCTTCATTTCATATAAAGAATCTAACACTAATTGTCAACCCCCATATGCTTTATGAACTACCATCAACCGAATAAATTCACAATAAATATACAGGAAAATAAAAAGGTAGTGATCCATTATAATGTGGGTTGGTGGTTGGTGTCACTTTCCACAATTACAAATTTATAATAGATCAAATTATTTTTTCTTTCTCTAATTTTTATTTTTTTTTTATTTTCAGTTAAATACAGTTTGCACCAAAAGATACGTGAGATATAGTAACATTTACCCCTCTTAATATAATTAACGTAAATTGTATATTTTTCTAAATAACAAATTACGTATTCATCTTTTATGCAGTTTGAAACATTGTTGGCAAAATCGTGTTACATATTCATCATTTACATAATCGTGTCAAGTTTCACCATATATGATACGAAGTTTGTCTCGAACACAAATAGTAGAAAATAATTAAATATGTATAAAATGAGTTGGTAGTAGTTCGAGCTCTGACTTGGTTGTTAATCAGACGAACTTAAACGACAATAGTTAAAACTCTAGAAAAAATCAAACAAAGTTGAAAAATCATACGTTAGACTCGATTCGATTCATTTATTGCACGAGGAAACAACTTACAAACACATTAAAGCAATGTCGAGAATTCCCACCAACCATCCCACTCCTCATTCATGTCACGGCCAAACATTTGACATTTAAGAGATGACTACAATAAGCTTAAAACCAAGTGACCTGCCTTTAGAAAATGTTCATTCTTGGGCAGTTGTTTTTATGAATAGAAGTATGTTGGATCTTCGAAGCTACAATTCTTTATGAACTCTTTGCTCTCCGAATTGTCGATTTTTACAATAAAAAGAGTGATGGTGAAACGGGAAGTGGATTACACGAGCCGAGCTTGAGCCTAGTTAGGCTGTTTTGACGAACTCGAGCTCTTCGATTTTTTTTTTTATTTTTTTGGTGCCCAAACTCATTTTGAAAAAAAAAATTCTAATTTATTTTTATTATCAAAAAGATTACAAAATAATAATGAACTTATTTAATGTTTTATTTTTTATTTTATATGTACTTTTTTATGTAATATTATATATTATTATATATAATTTAAATTAAAAATAACATATATAAAATAAAAATAAGGCTCTCTAGCCAGCTTGTAAGCTCAAGAACAAATAAGAAGAAACTCGAGCTCGAATAACTCATGTTAGAGTTCAAACTTTTGTCGAGACGGTTCATCGAGTTAATAATTCCGCCCAACTCATATACACCCCCTATTGAGAACTAATATAAAGTTGAGTGGCACAATCTTACATCTGTCAATTAAACTCTTCAAATTGCAGATCCCTTTGCTTGTCAAAGCAAACACTTCAAAAAGCAGCCACCCCTATCAACAATATTGGCCCACACACACACACACACTGCCACTAGGCTTTAAGCCACCAAAATAATGCACTCTTTTAAATAATAGTAACAGTAATTATTAATAATATTATTATTCTTATTACTATAAGATAAGCACCACAAATTGGACTATGAAAATGAATATATATAAGCAGCAATAAAAACAAAAAGCAGATAGAATAGAGGCAATAGAATCTTGCCATTAGGAATATGTAACTTTCAGTCCCCAACTACAAGATCCACTTAATTGACACATCAATTGAACCCATCTTGCATTTCTACAATACTACATTAAATTTCCATAAATTAATAAAGTCGTCACTAGCTAAATTCTACTAATTTACCAAAATCTTTTTTCGAGACAGGATTGAAAAAAATTATTGTTTACACGAGGTTATTAATTTAACTGTATTAACATGGAAAATGATATTCTAAAATAAACAATAAACCCAACAAACCAATATTAATTAAGAAACGAAATTAAATTAAAAAATACTCAATATCTAATATTCATAGTCTAAGCCAAATAAATAAATAAATAAAAACTAATGAGAGATTGGAAACCCCTAATTGGACGGCTCTAACAGCACAAGAAAAAACCCAAGAAAAAGGGAATCTCCAAATCTCTCTTTAAACAAAATAGAGATAGATAAACCTAATTTAATAATAAAAAAACATCTCTGAACTGTAGTTATACAGTTCTTGTAGAACACTCTCACTCATCAAAACAAAACTCCGAGAAATACTAAAAAGACTAAAATAACCTTCAAAATCCTCTAGTAGAACTAGCTGCAAAACTTTTATAGGCATGCAATGTCGAAAGGCTGCATCGAAATTGCCGCTTCATCCATCCACCCAAAGTCGAAATCAAAGTCACAATCGGGCAACGCAATTGGCTGCTCATCGTCCTCCAGGGTATCGCATTTACCATCCACCCCCCCAAGACCGAGAAAGTCGTCAAACTCACCCCCGATAAGATCGTCGTCGAGGAAAGGGGCAAAACCGTCATTTCCACCCATGAGCGCCTGCAGTTCCGAATCAATGTCCACCTCGTTCCCGATTTGCGCGAGCGCCAACAATTCCTCGTCCATGAAATCGTCATCACCACCAGCAATTACGTTCTTACCCTCCACAATCGTGCTCTTCGACGTGGGGGAATCCAATTCGAGCGCAGCCGAAGACGGAGACGTGTGCGAACACAAACTAGAGTCGTCGGACAGAGACGAAACGTGTTTGGAAACTACAACAAAAGCGGACGAGGGTCTCTTGTCGGTAATCGAGGAAGAAGACGAAGACCCGTTGACTAAATTCTCGAACTCGAGGCGTTTGGATTCGTAGGCCCGCGAAGCTTCCTCGGGGGTATTGAATGTGCCTAACCAGACCCGCTTGTGGGTGATCGGGTGGCGGATCTCGGCGGCCCATTTACCCGATTGCCGGAGGCGCACACCTTTGTATTTACCCGTAAAAGGTCTCGTGTTTCCCTTGCTTTCGGACGACGTCGTCGTCATCTTCTTGTTCGACGCTGTTACGCCGCCGCCATTGATACTGTCGTGGGCCGAACTCTCCAATTCCAGCGAAACAGTCGACAAACAAACTTCGCGGACAAACCGCTTTTTCAGCTTTGAATCTCTTTCGTCGTCGGACGAATCGGTGGCGTACGGGTCGTTACATGTGATTCGGATCTTCCTCATGGGTTCGGGTCTGGGTTTGGGTTTCAGTTTTCTGAAAACACTGTCTCTCTCTCTACTAACACTAACCATTTTTCTAGGAGCCGGCATTTTTTTTTTCTCTCTCTTAACAAAAACCAAACCCTCAAAACAAAGAAAACCCAGAAAACTGAACCGCCCAGAAATTACAAAAAAAAAAATTAAATAAATAAATTCAAGAAAAGGGCAGAGGAAAAGTCGCCTGAATGAATGGAAGAATCAAAAGGGTTTCTTAACCGAGAGGGCATCTCAAGAACAACCGGTTTATATGATATCCCCCGAAACAAACTACTACACCAGAACAAGTCCTGCGTCAAAACACAAAACCAAAAAAAAAAAACAACCTTAAAAATCGTTAATTCTTGTTTTTTCATTACAGATCAGAGAAGGGTATTTTGGTAATTTTGGTAAAATTACCTTTTGGGCCTCAAACGCATCGAAACAGTCGGGAAGAGAGAGACGTCGCTCTGCTGGAGTTCTTCACAGCAGAGGAATTTTCGTATGCAGCGGCCAGACGATGACGATGACGATGATGAAGAGAAACAGAGCTTCGATTGAAACCTAAATCCAAACAGAACAACGCCCAAATCAAGACAAGCCGACATAAATCTCTTGCTCCAAACGTTAGAAAACCCTAGCCCCCTTTCCCTTTGCTTCTGCTCTCTCAAGAGGAAAAAAAGGAGTGTCCGGAAAAAGGGGAGAAAATCGGTATCAGATTCACGTATATATATATATATATATATATATATATACGGTTATTAACAAAATTAGAGATAACACTGGGTACAAAAAAAAGGGATTAGAAATCAATGGTTGTGATTTCTTTCCTTGCCAGTTTACAAATATGACAAAAGGAAAATTTTGAGGGTATTCTTGGAAAGAATATAAAATCGCAGATTCAGCAGTTTCATATGTGAGAGACGAACCAGTGGTGTGTGTAAATATAGACTGAGGAAAGTGGACAATGGAAATAGGGGTTTTATTATTTTATTTAATTAATTAATTAATTAATTAAATTCATTCTTTAATTTCCACCTTCAATTTGACTGAGCAAGAACGAACGCAAATCTCAAGGAGAGAGAGGAGAGAGATAAATATGAAACATCGTCACTGTAAAAAAAACATCATATTTTACATCGAAAATATGAAACAAATCAAATATATAAAAAAAAAAATACAGACGTACGATTGGCTTATACGCTTTTGCCTTTACCTGCTCACTGTGTGTGTGCGTGACTTTTGGTCTGTTGTTACATATGGGTTTTTCTCGGACTTCGGTCAAAAGAAATGGGGGAGGGGTGTGTGTATATATTTTTTTTTTTTGAATGTGGGTGTGTGTATATATATATATATAAAAAGTGTATATAAGTATATACAAGTAAGGTGGTGTTTGCAAATGCTTTTTGAAAGTGATTATGCGGTTTTTTTTGCTCATAATCTGTTTTTAGGTGTTTGCAAAATCAACTTTTGCTTTTGCTTCTCTTAAAATAATCTGCTTTAAGCTATTTTTTTAAAAGCACCCATAACCCTGCTTTTTCAATTTTAGTTCATTTTCCGAAATATTTGCAAACACCCCCAACTTTTAGAAATAAGCACTTAAAACTAACTTAAATCACAATCACTAACTTCTGCTTTTAAATAATCATTTGCAAACACCACCTAAGGGGTCTTAAGATATAGGTCCCTAGTGACAAAACTTATTAGAATTAAATGACAACTTTAACAAAACATTTGCTACACATCTTTCATAAAATTTATTCTAAAAATGTCCTCCCACTCACAAATTCGAAATTTACATTAAGTAAAATTCAAATTGTATTTATCGTTTTTTTAGTCTGCATTTAATATATTTTTATTTTTCCAACCAACATTTTTAATTTTTTTTATACAAAACACGTTTAATGTTTTTTTTTTTTTTTCTTACTGTTTCTTCATTTTAGCAATTTTTATACAATTAAAAATTTATTTTGTTCTCTTCATAATATTGAAGATTATGAAAAAAAAATATTTTTTTATTTTTTTTAAATTCAATTTACATATTTTTAAATATTTTTTTTTGATTTTATCTGTTGTTAATACTGTAGTAGTCTATAGTATACTACGGTCTATCGTAGCATACTTGTGCTATAGCATACTACGGTGTACTTTAGTTTACTATGGTCTACTGTTCCAATAGATAATATTGGTTGTTCCCAATAGAGAAATATGAACTTCACACAGGTTCAGTATAATTAAAATCAGACCGACTACAAACCATACAATAGATTTAGGGACACATAATACACTCAATAACAACACCTTAACAAGTACTCGAAATCAAGATCCATGAATTCACTAGTTTCGATTCTTCGATTTCTCCACGACCCTCGGAGCTGTATCAATCCAAAAAAAAAAATCGGTTACGAATTTTTCGGTAATAAATTATTGCCAAAAAAATTTCGCTTATATCAAGACATAAACGAATGCGAAAAAGGTATAAAAGAACAATTTGTACACGGATAAAAGTTGCTTACCTAATCCAATAGCACCGGAGCCTTTCATGATTTTGAGCCTTTTGCACGAGGCGATGAACATCCTAAAACAGCAGAGCATTAATCAATGTTTTCGAAAAATAATCAGGGAAGAAAATATTTAAATAAAAATTATACCATTTATTTACCAATAGATCCAGAACACTCTTGTTCATCAAACAAGAAACGTTATTCAATTGGGTAACGAAATCATACAATAACAATAAATTTGACTATTATGATTACTTCAAATTAAATACGTTAGATAATGCAAGAACTCTAGCCGCAAAACAACTCTTAGTATACTACGGTGTATACTATAGTTTACTATGGTTTACTGTTCCAAGCCCTAGCCGCAAAACAACTCTCAGCCGTCGCCAAACCCTAGCCGCCAACAACTCACAGTCGCCGTCAACTTCTATCCACCAAACCCTAGGCACCACCCAAAATCCTAACACCATCAAAGAGGCATAGCTTGATGCAACCACCTCCCACCGTAGACTAGCCTCACACCAC